ATCGATACAAGGGTAGTTAGCACCATTAAATTGATGATTTTAATGTCTAAAAAGTGAATTTGGTTTAAAACTGGGACTCTTCGATCAACAAAGTTTATTTTTAATGAAACATTGCACAACGTACATAAAAATAATTTTGTTCTGATGCAATTATATATTTATTGGTTCACATTTAGCACATACATTTCTGTACATACATTTTATATATATATTGGATATTACTATTATATATTCTCATCCAATAATTGTCCTGGAACTGCTTCATTTCTTGAAAAAGGGGATTTTTAGAAATTGGAAAAAAATACTCACCTGCAAAGTCTTTTATCAACATTCTTAATTTTTTCTGTTGTTAGTTTTTGTTTGCACTTATGCACCTATTCATATATTTAATCTGGGGGAATGGTTCTTATGTCATGAAAATATTCTAACAATGCAATTTTTGTACATTTTACTTAACTTGAAAAATGTGGTATTTGACTGGTTTGGGGTCAACTGAGCAGTTTACACCGGTATTCTTGGATAGGTGAGAGCCTGTAATTCTCGTTCAGGACGTCAATGCTGCCATTGCATCCATCAAAACACAGAAATCTATTCAGTTTGTTGACTGGTGCCCAACAGGATTTAAGGTATAGTTTACACAGGATGAGATACTACAGGGTTACTTAGAAAGGATGAGGCTGTAATGACGACCTGAAACTCTTAAAATATGATGACTTGAAAGTTTAACTTGGCTTTCTGACTTTAATATAGTTTACTACAGGTATATTTAATGATTTGACAAATAACGAAAAAAGTTTACAACGAACAAATTAATTAATGAACAAAGACTAAAAAAATTCCGTACAGTCGTCTCTGAAGTCTAATCCTGTGATGGATCCCTTTAGAGTCTGGATAGAGAGGTGGGGAAGGCGAAACTGGAAAAATTTCATCAAATTACAAGAAAATAAAATTGAATAATGACAGTTGCTGAATATTTTAAATTGTCTTCTTCCATAATTTGTGTTGTTGTTTGATATCAAAGAAAATAATATGGCAGTTTTATTATAGTAAAATCGATCCCAGATTAAGATATATTGGAGTAAAAGATTTTTCTACAGAACTAAACTGGAAAAAGTTTTTAAATCTAATCTTGTATTTGGAAGACGACATTCTAAACTATTAATCTACTGTCATGTTTTGTGGGACACCCTGTATATTAAATATAGGTTATTTGCTGAAGTTTGAATATATATCCCTGAATATACAGGATAGGACTAGACATGGTATGATGACGGAAGTAAGACGACTTATAAAGCTCATCTTAGATCTATGGTATTGGTAGCTATCTAAATAAAGGGTGAAAAGAAAGTAACGCATCACTCAAATAAAATGTTCTTGATGCTTTAAAAAAATCGTTTATTATAAATTTAATTTATTTCAAAATGACCCCGACTATAATAGACATCTTTCACTCTGTTTGGCATTGAAGAGACCCAGGGGCGTACGAGGGCTTTTGTTTAGGGGGGGGGCACAATTTGCGCGCTTAAGCGCGCAAAAAAAATTTTTTGGTCCCCCCCCTTAAAAACCCCTTTTTTGAAAAAATATTAATACCTTTTTTAAATTTTTTTTGCCCCCCCTCTCCCACCTGGACTTATTTTGTTCACCATAAAAATACACCAAAAAGACTACTTTTTTGGGTGTTACTAACCTTAGAGTCTAAAAATTATTCCTTTGCTTGAAAAACTAACTTTTTAACTTTATAAATTTATCACTTAACTCCATCACAGCTAACTAAATCAATAATCACAGCATCATTAAAAATTATATTTTTACGAATAAACGAAATTTCTTCTGAAATTTTTAGATAGAATTTACTCAATCTACATTTTAACCAAATCTTTTAAGCTACAATTTTCTAGGATTTGCTTGCACAAACATTTCAATGATTTTTTTCAGTAGAGAGCTCAGACAGCCTTATAGGGTGTAAAGCTATAAGTGCAAGATCGTTAAGTCTGCTCTCCGTCATAGTACATCTTGCGTAAAGAAGTATACTCTTTAGAAGGCTAAAACTTTTCTCTCCTTCTATTAACAGTGAATTTAGACAAATCCTTAGTCTTTGTCATTGTTAGGTGTTACTTTCTAAACGTAGTTTCCTTTTAATTTGGTATTTTTCTAACTCCCAGGGGGGGGCAAGAGAACTACTGCCCCCCCTAGGTACACCACTGTGCCTGACCTGAGGAAGGGAAATGCAAGCAGATGTATTATTAAAAGAGCCTCCCCCATGGATGCCCCCCCTCAGCCTCTCAGGGGGGGCACGCGTAGAGGGGGGCGGGGGGGGCGCGGCCCCCCCCCTCGTACGCCCCTGAAGAGACCAGGGTCTCCAGGCTGATGTTTCTTTAGAATCTATTCAGTAGCTTTTCCAGTTGCGCAATATTCCGAGGCTGATTCTTTTCCGACTTCATCTCATCCTCCAGTATAGACAACAGATTTTCGATTAGATTGAGGTCACGAGGCCATTCCTCCTCCCCCAAAATGGCACTTTTTCCCACCAATTTAGAGCCAAAACAGTCTCATGCATTACTTTCTTTACACCCTATACAAAACTTTACAACACAAAATCAAACGACTTTTCAGCTTTCCAAAATGTGATGTACCCCCTGAGTAGCTGGCTAGTTGGGCAACCTATCAAAGTGTAAAGACTATACCTTCACATTTAGTGGAAAACCCTGTATATTCGTTTAAACCTTTTACTTGACATTTGGTATTCCACGACAGAACACGATATTGAATTATTTATCAAATCAATACTAGAGATTAAACATTCACTTCTCCAGATTCAAACAATATCGGATTTATAGAAATAAAGTCACGTTTACTTTTTTATTGCAAAGATTAAAGATTTAAAATTATAGGAAAAATGCAAGTTTTCGTGCAAAAAAGCATTATGTGTATGATATAAAAGATTCAAATGAATAAACCTTCAATTATTCATACTTTAGAAAGCTGGCATTTTCTGTTTTTCAAAACTTAGATTAAAGGGACATTTATAGATTGGCATTGTCTGATTCACAACGGTATCCTAAACAGCTTTGTCTAATCTGGAATAAACATGGTTATTGTCAATTGTTGCTTCTCAATAATTATTTGCGCGATATATTTTAGGTTGGAATTAATTACCAGCCCCCCACGGTGGTACCAGGAGGGGATCTTGCAAAGGTAAAAACTTATAACTAATAAACTTTCATAAATAGTTTAAAAATATGCCCTGTATTCCCATCCTCTACCCCAGACAATTCCACCTTCCACATCCACAAAAAAACCTTTACCTAACCACAATTTCACAAACTCCCCTTTACCACCATCAGTTGATCATCCGCCTTCACCACAATCATCCACCTCCACCTCTCCACCACAAACCCTTCGTTTCTTCCCACCACTTCTATAGCTAAATCACAAAGCTACCTCCAAATCCTTCCCTTCCCTACGCACAATGTCTCTTCTTTCATAACCTATGTTGAATTCAGGTTCAACGTGCAGTATGTTGTTTATCTAATACAACAGCAATAATGGAAGCTTGGGCTCGTTTAGATCATAAGTTTGATCTTATGTACGCTAAGAGAGCTTTTGTTCATTGGTAAGTGATCTTATGTACGCTAAGAGAGCTTTTTTTCATTGGTAAGTGATCTTATGTACGCTAAGAGAGCTTATGTTCATTGGTAAGTGATCTTATGTACGCTAAGAGAGCATTTATTTATTGGTAAGTGATCTTATGGGTGTTAGGTACTTTCCCAAGTCTCCCAAGTGACAATTTCCTAAGTGGCAACTTCCCAGATGTGCAATTTCCCAAGCGGCAACTTCTGAGACATCGCAGGCTGCAATGGCAGAGTGCCGCGACTAGAATGAGTTAGTAGGCCCAGCGCTGCAGCCAGAACAGGCTGGGGGGATGAGCGCTTCGGCTAGGACAGACTTGGGAAGTTGCCGCTTGGGAAAAGGACTTTGGGAAAGTACCTAACATCATTTTATGTACGCTAAGAGAGTTTTGTTCATTGGTAAGTGATCTTATGTACGCTAAGAGAGTTTTGTTCATTGGTAAGTGATCTATGTACACTGAGAGAGTTTTTGTTAAGTTTTCTTAATATTGACTCAATATACTGAACATATTTTCTTGAGGTATGTTGGTGAGGGTATGGAGGAGGGAGAGTTCTCAGAGGCTCGTGAGGATCTAGCTGCTCTAGAGCTGGACTATCAGGTTAATCAGGGATTTAACTAATCCTAACAAATATTGGATTAAGCTAATCCTAACTAATATTGGATCAAACTAATCGTAACAAATATTGTATTAAACTAATCGTAAAAAATATTGGATTAAACTAATCCTAACAAATATCGGGTTAAACTAATCTGAACTAATATTGGGTAAAATCTAATCCTAACTAATATTGGATTAAACTAATCCTGACTAATATTGGGTTGAATTAATTCTACCTAATATTGGATTAAACTAATCCTAACTGATATTTAATAAATCTAATCCTAAATTAATCCTAACTAATATTTGGTTAAACGAACCCTAACTAATATTGGATTAAACTAATCCTAACTATTATTGGATTAAACTAATTCTAACTAATATTCGATTGAACTAATTCTATTTCCAACTAATATTGAATTAAATGTGAGACCTATGAGCCGTTTTTACGGTTTATAATTGTTTAGCAAGAGCGCAATTTTCAATCTTTAAGATCCTCCTGGATAGTCTATTCTGAAGGGTTGATTTTAAAAATTGATTTTTTAAAATGATATGATTACGACAACGAAAAAAGTAACAAGAATTCTACATAATTTTCAGGAGGTTGGTACGGACAGCTACTCTGATGAAGAATATGATGATGCATAAACTAGTAGAATATTAATATTTCAATAAATATGATCAATAGGCAAACAAATTGGCAACTATATGTATTTCTTTTTATTATGAGAAATAAATGTTCAAATCATATACCACGATATAATACATGTAATTAGTTAAGATAAACGTTTTATTCAGCAGAGAATGATCAAACTGAAGGGCCAGTCTTAAACCAAAAGGATCTGAGTCGTTGGCACACTTTTTCATTTTCTAATCCCTATATCTATGAAACTGAAGAGTTTGTGGCAAAGACTCAATTCCTTTAAACCTTTTGACAGTTTAAAAATGTAAAAATTGGTTGTATGATTACGCAAGCATTGTGAGAGACTGTGACTGGGTTCAGATATGTAACTCGTCAATTTCGGTGTGATAAATATTTAAGCTAAATATCAAAGTTCTAAAGGTAAGTCACAAAAGGCATTCAAGCTAAAACCTAACATTTAAGCTTCACATTTTCGTTTTTTTTAGTTTTGGACTCAGAAAATTCAAGTTTATGGGCGACCGTGGTTCGTTATATTCCAGTAGATTGCTGAGTTGGATCAGGGCGATATTTTCTTATTGTCTCATATTCCAGTAGATTGCTGAGTTGGATCAGGGCGATATTTTCTTATTGTCTCATATTCCAGTAGATTGCTGAGTTGGATCAGGGCGATATTTTCTTATTGTATCAGCAAGATTCCTCAAATAGAAATTATTAAATTTTCTCCTTTCTTTTATATTGAAAGGAATTGAGGATTTGCCACAAATTCAAATTTTCTAATCCCAATATTTTTGCAACTTAGATTGTTTAATCTAACAGAATTAATAGTTCGTAATATCTAAGGTCTACTACATTGGGTTGCATAGATATTGGGATTAGAAAATCAGTGTTTGTGGCAAAGTATCAATTCCTTTTACAAAGATTTGTAATTTGCAAAAATACATATATTGATAAGATTTTTATGAATATATTCTTACTTTATATTCTGAATGCTGCAGTCTTCTTTAACTTGTCTCATTGCTTCTTCAATTTTCTTGTTTGCAACAGCAACCATATACTCCTTTAATAAACAATACATTTTAAACTTTTAGAAATTAGAATAGTTTTCTATATTAATTACAGGGATTGTTTACCTTGTCAAAATTACACAAAATATCATAGTTTTCGAAATTAGTATATTTCTGAGAACCAATAAATACAATATACAATATACCAATAAATACAATATTCAATATACCAATAAATACAATATACAATATACCAATAAATACAATATACTCTCTGTAAAATGTTTAATCTCGGAAAGGAGTCTTTGCCACAAACTCTGATTTCCTAATCCATATATCTTAGCAACCCATGAATGTCGTAAACCTTTGGTATTTCAAACTATGATATCTGTTATATTAAATAATATAAGCTTGAATTAATATCAAAGGTTTACACCAACAGGTTGCAATGATATAGAGATGACACAATTTGAGTTCGTGGCAAGACTCAATTCCTTTTGACACATGTTTTTCTTATGCTTCATGGAAAATTTCAATGGACCCATCATTTAGTTTTATCTTTTTGGCATCTGCGTATAATTCCATCATTCCATTTTCGATAAAAGTTCGATCATTCTACACCTGAAGAACATCATTGAGCGCGAAGTTAGAATTGTTTATGTTCTTTTCCCAAAAGTTGGGTATCATGATTCTTAAAAATATGTGAACAAAATCTTGAATAATAACAAAGAGTTGAATCCAATCAACGATTTCCAGCTTCCACGGTATATTTAGTTTGAATTATACCTTAATGGTTCTTGTTTGTGAAATATATTGAACTTCATCCTTCTCCGCAACATCCGTTATTCGTAACCTATCACAAAGTACAGGGTGTCCCAAAAAGCATAGGAATTCAGTGACGAAATGGATATCGTCTTTGTTATGAATTAGCGTTGTAATACCTAATTTCAAACCCACAATATTATTATGTCTGCTAGAGTTTATTTTATGAAAACGGTAAATGGCTGTAAAGATGTGTCAATAATATTAATTACTCCGCAAGATCAACAGTGAAGACGGGCAAGTTTACTCAGTATGTATACTGTAATTTTCTTGTTTTTCTAAGTACAACCGTATGCAGTCAAAACATAAACAAACAAAATTGAACATAGCAGACGAAACTTATACAGATTACAGCTTTCTCAGTATGTATCACTATACTAAATCAAAGAATTATTTAAAAAGACGATATTGAATTCGTCACTGAATTCCCATGTTTATTGGGACACCCTGTATCTTGGTATGAATATAATATCTGTGAAATCTTACTTTTCCAAATTTTTTAAGGAATAGGGTATTTCACTGTACATGATAGTAAAGAGACGACTTAGAAATAATTTTCTTCGATTTTTGATGGTTATTTGATGACAAGAGGGTATAAAAAAGGTTATTTGATGACAAGAGGGTATAAAAAAAGGTTATTTGATGACAAGAGGGTATAAAATAAGGTTATTTGATGACAAGAGGAAATAAAAAAAGGTTATTTGATGACAAGAGGGTATAAAAAAGGTTATTTGATGACAAGAGGGTATAAAAAAAGGTTATTTGATGTCAAGAGGGTATAAAAAAGGTTATTTGATGACAAGAGGGTAAAAAAAGGTTATTTGAAAACAAGAGGGTAAAAAAAAGGTTAATGATGACAACAGAAAAGGTTAATGATGACAAGAGGGTATAAAGAAAAGGTTTTTTGATGACAAGAGGGTATAAAGAAAAGGTTATTTGATGACAAGAGGGTATAAAAAAAGGTTATTTGATGACAAGACGGTAGAAAGAAAAGGTTATTTGAAAACAAGAGGGTAAAAAAAAGGTTAATGATGACAACAGAAAAGGTTAATGATGACAACAGGGTATAAAGAAAAGGTTTTTTGATGACAAGAGGGTATAAAGAAAAGGTGATTTGATAACAAGAGGGTAAAAGAAAAGGTTATTTGATGACAAGAGGATATAAAAAAAGGTTTATCTAATGACAAGAGGGTAAAAGAAAAAGGTTTTTTGGTGACAAGAGGGTATAAAAAAGGTTATTTGGTGACAAGAGGGTATAAAAGGTTATTTAATGACAAGAGGGTATATAAAAAGGTTATTTGGTGACAAGAGGGTATAAAAAAGGTTATTTGGTGACAAGAGGGTATAAAAGGTTATTTAATGACAAGAGGGTATAAAAAAGGTTATTTAATGACAAGAGGGTATAAAAAAGGTTATTTGGTGACAAGAGGGTATAAAAGGTTATTTAATGACAAGAGGGTATAAAAAAGGTTATTTGGTGAGTATAAAAAAGGTTATTTGGTGACAAGAGGGTATAAAAAAGGTTATTTGGTGACAAGAGGGTATAAAAGGTTATTTAATGACAAGAGGGTATAAACTTGTCAACTATATGTTTTTCAGTACTGTAAAAAATATTCGCTAATGTACATAATTTAAAGAGGCATAAAAAAAGGTCATTTTGGGAACAAATTACTGAACACTCGCCACAAACTTTAATTTTCTAATGCAATTTTTATCTTTGCAATCTGATGTTGTAAACCTTTGATATTTTAAACTTTGAACTTTTGTTCCTGGTGAATTCATAGTTTGAAAAATCAAAGGTCTACACAAAGAATAAGAATTAGAAATTCATAGTTTGTGACGAGGAATTAATCTTGATCTGAATTGATTAGTCCCAACCTTGAAATATTAGCTCCCTCGATATTCAGATCTGCGAGGGCGGTTTGAACACTTATGTTCAGTTTTTCTGTTCTCTGTAGCTGAACAACCTCAAGGATTTTTAAAACCTGAACAATAAACATTGAACATACAAGTTAGATGAGATTTAAAATTACTTTGATGTTATGTTGTGTTTGGATACCTCTGTTAGAATTCCATGATCTGATATATCACATTTATGTTGTGCTGGCGCCTAAAATTGATTATCAAAATTAGGAAAAATTATCATTATAGACCAGCATTTAACAACAGTAAAAGAAAACTGTTGCATCAAGGTGTTTTGGACAAATTTTCTCTTACATTATCGAGTTATTTTCTTGCATCATTTACAAATTTATAAAAAAGCTTTATACAATCATCCCAAGTAAGGTTAAATTTTAAAAATAAAGAAAAAGATGTTTTCTATAAATGTAATTTCTAATTTTTTAAAATTTAATCAAACATCAAAGAAAGGTCATGTTAAGTTAGTATTTTTAACGAAAATCATGAAATAATAAATAATTGTAATTACCTTGGTCATTTTAAAAGATTTAACTTTAGTATCAAACTGTTGTTGTTTTTCTTCTTCTTGGCTTGCATAGACAATTTTTACTCTATCGGACTTTTTTAGTTGAGTAGGTTCCATCTTTATTTTGGAGTAAGGCAGCTCTGCATTGGGTCGATCAGACTGGGGTTTCTCTTGGATTGATTCCTTTGTTTCATCATGAGTTGATTTTGAGGATATCAGATGTTTTGATTCCACTGTTGTGATTTCGTTGTAAAACGGTTTATCAATGAGAGTGTTCTTTATTTCACATTTTTCTTGCTTCTTCAGGTCTTTTACATTCACCTCAGCTTTATCTTTTTCTTCTTTGGGTATTTTCTGTTCTTTATTTTCACCAATGGCTGTTTTCTGACTTGCAAATGAATTTATAAGAACTATTTTGTCTTCTTTTCCAGTCTTTAGATCGTTTCTAATCAACCTCTCTTCCTTCAAAGTGCTGAAATCAAGAAATCGAATGAAGATTCAATTTAAAAAAGGGTTGTTGAAACAAATACCTCTGAGTCTCTTTTACTATTTTCTCTGATGGTTTCTTCAAGAAGTATCCTAAAAGGATCAAAGCTCCACTGCCCAAGCCTAGTTAAAAATAGTAGATTTAAACAAATGGATTAAATTGTCCAAAAAGAAGAGAAGTTAATAATCAAACCTGCATTCATCAAGAATTGAAAAGTTAGTAACTTTAAACACTGGATTAAATTGTCCAAAAAGATGAGAAGTTAAAAATCAAACAAGCATTCAGTTGAATTGTAAAATTAGTAAATTTAGACAATAGATAATTAAAAAAGGAGGGGAAGATAAACATCAAACAAGCATTCAGTTGAATTGTAAAATTAGTAAATTTAGACAATGGATAATTAAAAAAGGAGGGGAAGATAAACATTAAACAAGCATTCAGTTGAATTGTAAAATTAGTAAATTTAGACAATAGATAATTAAAAAAGGAGGATAAACATCAAACAAGTATTCACCTAAAATTGGCAACAAAAGATTGCTGGTTTTGCGGTCAGTTGCTCCCTTTTCCAAGTTGGCTCGTGGTGGCGAGTAGATACTGCCGAAGACAGGAACAAGTTCTAGCCACTGTACACTTGAGATCGGACCGGTTCCTCTCATCGCACTTGTTTCTACCTGGATCGGCCATATTTATTATATTTTGTTAAAATTAAAATATTTAATTGACAGTCATTGTCAGTTTAAGTGAGCCTCTATACTAAGAGCTGGATCAATAATGTGGAAGACAATGTTGTTCAATTCTATTAATTTTATAAATTGTTTCTGAAGCAAGAAATGCGGAAGTCACTTTTGTAGAGAAAGTACAAATGAAAATACTAAGTTTTCAAAAACAAAACAATGGACTTCTAATTCATCTGAGCAGACACAGCTTTTAAGGGTACACTTTTGTGAATCTAACATGCCAGTTTATCAATCACTTGAAGTGTGTCTTCTGCAGTTCTTTTAATCAATTACCTTTCCTGCGGGATGATTGAATGGTTTAAAATCTGGAACCATCCTGTTCCCTCTCTCTTGTCTGGGTCCTTGTATCCGGGTTGAAGGTTGGGCTCCTGGCAGTTGTCGTTCTGATGCCACCAGGAGCAGTTTTAGAACCACCAGGCAAATATTGATCTTCATATCTACCTGAAAAATATTGTCAAATTCTAAAAAAATTATTCGTTCAGTATTAGACAGATCCGGATATGAGATCTGATTGACTAATAATGTATAGTGTGAATCTGATGTGAGTGAAGAGTGTGGACGTGGTGTGAGTGTAGAGTTTGAATCTGATGTGAGTGTAGATTGTGAATCTGATGTGAGTGTAGAGAGTGTGAATCTGATGTGAGTGTAGAGTGTGGACGTGATGTGAGTGTAGAGTTTGAATCTGATGTGAGTGTAGATTGTAAATCTGATGTGAGTGTAGAGAGTGTTAATCTGATGTGAGTGTAGAGAGTGTATATGTGATGTGAGTGTAGAGTGTGGATGTTATGTGAGTGTAGAGTGTGAATGTGATTTGAGTGTTGAGTGTGGATGTGGTATGAGTGTAGAGTGCGGATGTGGTGTAAGTGTAGAGTGTGGATGTGATGTAAATGTAGAGTGAGGATGTTATGTGAGTGTAGAGTGTAGAGTGTGGAGTGTAGAGTGTAGATGTGATGTGAGTGTGGATGTGCTGTGAGTGTAGAGTGTGGATATGAGTGTGGATGTGATGTGAGTGTAGAGTGTAGAGTGACTGAATTATAATCTATGTTAGACGATGAAATGCTAGGGCTAGGAATCTGCTGATCTCCTGTATTTCATCTTGAGCTGAATTTAAGATGAATAGATAGATAGACAGAAAGGAGGAGAAGGTATATTTTGGAAAAAATGTCAGTTTTAAATAATAATTAGTGTACTTTATATTTACTGCCTGGAAAACTGAGAGACTAAAACTATCTGTAAATCATAATACAATGTTACCATAATAATAAATGAATTTAAGTTTAAGAGAGGGGTCACAAAATGGAAAGAGGATCCTATCTGGAAAAATGTTCATAAGTTTTAGTGTATATCAATTGTGCAATTGTGCAGCTTACATAAGGGCATTTGTCCAAACTTCCCAAGTTTACATTTTTTCTGATGCCCTTATCCACAGCAGTAGCGTATTCAGGGGGGNGGGTACTCTGAAGTCTCATTCTTTGTGGGTAACACACTTCCAAGTGTTAATAAATTATTTATGTAATTTTTTCAATTTCAAGTGGACTCATCAGACACTTAATCCTTATACTGTGGTGTAAGCTTCGAGGGGTGAAAAATAGAGATGGAAACGTTTCTTAAACATCATCTATGTTTTCATAGAGACGATACATATTGCATAATTATAAATAATGATATCAAATATATATTTACACTTAAGGCAGCATTGATTAAAGATTTGTTGATGAAACTTTTTTAGAAAAAGGACAAAAGTGAGATTATTAAGTATTTTTTATGGGTCGTACAGTCGTACGCCCCTGTTTTTACTTGCACTTAAAGTGTTCATTAAATCAAAACTTTTTTCTCTTAAATTTGCGCAAACTGATTTAAAAAACATGACAGGATATCTTCATGCCAGTAGATAACATCTAATCAACATGTTCTAAATCATCTTCGAGTTAAATTATCAGTTACGAATCAATTTTCATGATTTACAATTAATGTTAAACGTAAAGTTGAGATTTAATAAAAAATATTTCCTAAAAATCGTAATGTAAAAAAACTTAAAACTCAATACAAAACTTGTAATCTAATTTGCATGTGTTTTCACTTTTGCTATAGTATCAAAATAATAGATAAATCTCTCAAAAATTGACTACAAGACTTTCGTATTAATTGATAGATCTGAAAAATCTGTTAACTTTTCCTAACATTCTGTTATTGATTATGTAAGGTTGATAGCTATTTTTAGACTTTTGTTCTGCAATTCTAAAAGAGCGATTGGTTTCTCCCCCCCCCCCCTTTATAAACATACACTTGTATTACCTAAGATGTTTCACGAGAAGGAGTACGAGTTTAAAACTGAAATTTTGATCGATAATATGTCAAAATATTGAAGGAAATATAAACTTCATGCAGACATTTTATCATTACATGTGTATTAAATATATATATATATAAGATTAAGTGGTAGAAAATGTTGGAGGGAATATTTTTAGGTCCAGGAAATTCGAATGTAAAAAGAAAAACTGAATAAATTCCGAACAATCGTCTTTTTTGTCTCATCTTTAATAGGTAACCCTGCATTTGAAGTTTATTAAAGGAATTGAGTTTTTGCAACAACCTCAAATTTTCTAATTTCTATATCTCTGCAACCAGTGGGTTTAACCCTTTGAAATTTCAAACTTAGATTATTTGATCTAACAGAATTAATAGTTTGAAATATCTAAGGTCTACGACATAGGGTTGCCAAGATACAGGGATAAGAATATTTGAGTTTGTGGCAAAAACTCAGTTCCTTTGTAAAACTCCGAATGGGTTCAAAGTGTTCTCATTTGTACTCTGCATGAAGAATGCAAAACTTCAATTTATGTGAAAAGATATTTAACAAACATTTAACATTAAGAATGAAAAGCTTGTTTTTAACGGCCAAATAAAACTAAATTTTGAAGAAAAAAAATTGGGGGAGGGGGGAGTTACGAAACATAAATGGTTGACTGACAAATATGAAGTTGCAGGGGGGTGTCAAGAAGAAAAAACGAAAGATTTAAAAAAAAATTTATTGATAAGTTTTAATGAGTTTTTTTTTCGTGCAATCTAATTGGTGCAAATTTTAATCCTCGAATAATATGATGCATGTATAGAAAGAAAGGAATTGAGTTTTTGCCACAAACTCAAATTTTCTAATCAATATATATATTTTTCAACATGATGATGATGATGTAAACCATTATTATTTCTAACTTAGATTATTTAATCCATAGATTAATTAACAATACAGATAGAACACTATATGTCGTCTTTTCAAGATTTTCGTTCACAAGAACCCTGAGGGAGAGGCCCAAAGGGTTACACGCATGCGCTTTCTCTGTCTTGTAATTCAATCTGCCTGCGCGGAACTCCTTTGGGCTTCTGCCTCAGGGTTATTGTGAACGAAAAACCTTTAAATATTAAAATATCTGTTATCTGTTATTGTTAATTAATCTATGGTTTAATCTAACAGAATTAATTTTGCTACAACATTGGATTGCAATGAAATAGGGATCAGAGTTTGTGGTAAAGAATATATTCCTTTGCATGTACAGGGCATCATATTGGATGGTATAGCTAAAAATTGCGATTTTCGGGACTTATCAGTGTCTTAAATCCCCAAAAACCGGTTTCAATTGAGCGCTGGCTTAAGTCTTGAAAAATTTAATACAAATTAAAGTGGAACCAACAAAATTTGAGCTGCGGCTTAAATATAAACCGTGGCTTAAATTCTTTAAATTCGGCCTCAGGAAATTTAAAAAGAATGAATCACTTAGAAAAATTGTAAAAAGGTAATATAAAAATGCGCATGCAGAAAATGCTAGGTTTTTCGAGTAGTACATGCATATTTTAGCGTTAAAGCTTGGAGATAATCTAATATGATATGGAACGCTCTATTCAGAAAGCCAATTTTCTGACAATTTTAAAAATATCATTGAATAGACTTGAAACCGTAAATTTGGGTTAAACCTCCCGAGTGGTTGAATGTTTTTCATAATTGTGAAGTTTGAAGACAATTGTGAATCATATTTTTCGCAAAATCATATTTCTTGGACTATAAATATTTCTATTTGATATCATCAAGATAAAATAAAACAGTCTGCATGAAGTCCTGTATCATGATGAAATGAAATTCTGCATGAAGTCCTGTATCATGATGAAATGAAAAGTCTGCATGAAGTCCTGTATCATGATGAAATGAAAAGTCTGCATGAAGTCCTGTATCATGATGAAATGAAAAGTCTGCACGAAGTCCTATAAATTACATTTAGCGTAGAGTGAGAAAAGAAACTTTAAAAGTATTAATTTAGACTTTTACCTGATCTTGCACTTTAGTCAAATAACTAGATAAATTCATAGATACAGTAAGACTCATAAAAATGTGGAATGAAGAAGGCTACGGTTAAAGTCAAATGTAGATCTATATATCTCAAATACTAGGTGTCCCAATAAACATGGGAATTCAGAGACGATTTTGATTTCGTCTTTGAAAATGATTTTTTGATTTAGTATGGTGATGCCTAATAGGAAAACTATAATCCGTCTGCTAGAGTTCAGAATTTGTTTGTTTATGTTTTTTATTGCATATACTTAACAATTACAGAAAATCTTGTATACAAATACAGTTCAGTTGTGTCTCTTCATTGTGTATCTTGCAGAATTGTTACAGAACATCATACAACGTTTTGCAGAATAAAAAAAACAGTCTTTTACCGTTTACATACAATGTTGTTAAATATTAAATCTAAGTAAGATTAAACAAATAAAGGAACTTGCTATCAAACCAGAAAAAATATGTTTTTTTAACTGTACAACAAAAACCTTTTACAAGATGAAACTACGTATAAAGAACTAAAACATGAATTACAAATAAAATTTCAAATATCAAAAAACTAGAAATTAAAATGATATTTCTTTACAAATTTTTCTGTGGGTTTTCCAGTGCTCTTTTTGACATTCTCTACTGCAATAGTTTTGCTTTTTACACCTGGAAAATAATTTTTATTGTCAAACTATCTTTTCTAATTTAAAATTAAAAAAATTCTAAAAAATTTAGTTTTTAAATCTTTTCATATCTTTTCGAAGATAAGGTATTTTTATATTGTTTGTATAAACCAGCAAGGAATAACTCAAAAAATATTTGTCTTGTCGTTTTTTTTTGTATTTTCCAAATGAACAAAAAAACAGTTGAACCAACTGGGGTTTTGTGGGACAAGACATGGCTCCAGGTAAAAAAAAAATGAAAATACGAAACCCAACAAAAAAATTTTAAAAATTGAATCACACGAAAATGAGTTTTTACAGAAAACCTAATTATTTTATAAACTGCAGTGTACAGTATGTGTACATTACAGAGTACTGTACAGTGTACAGTACACTGTACTGCACAGTACGTACTGGACAGTGTACAGTAAATTGCTTGTACCTTGAACATCTGTTATTGCCCTGTTTGCCACAGATAATACAAGTTGGAGACATCTCCTTGCCCCCCTCCAGTCCCTCCAGTATACGCTCCATTACATCAAATTCAAATGTATCTCCCATCCTAAATATAAAGTTGCGTGCAGTGTCATTTACAGATTTCACTATACATGACGTATTTGTGTTAGTTTTAATCAACTTTCATCATTTTAACTGTTACTAGAACCTCTGGGTTAATTAAAGTACCGTACCGGTTTTAGGCAGATGTGCAATGATCACCCTCTTTTAATGAGATAAATGTGCTGCTTGTATGTTCTCATGTACTAGAAAGGATAAGAACCAAATTATCTGAAATATGCCTTTTTTCCTATTTTGTAGAGAAATGCTTTCAAGGAACTATGGAACAGACATAATTTCAAACAACTATCTATTTAATGAGATATCGTTCTTTTTGTCCGAAAACAAATTCTTTAAATAGTATTTCATCAATAAAAGTCAAGCCTTTAAGATACCCTAAATCTTTCTTAGTACCTGAGTGCATGTTTTTTCATAATTTCCTCTTCTCTGTTTATAAATCTACTCTTCTGAATGCAGGCAATCTTCTCCCAATCACCCCTGTACTTTTCAAATAACCCCTCTTTCAACTAAATAATAACAAATCATACAATTCTTTATTTGTAAAGATCGATGTTTTTCCAATTCCTTTGGGTTCTTTAATGTGCTTTGGATTCCAATTTTATTCGTAAAACTCTCCGTGCTTAAAAACAAAAACGTTTCAGAACATTTGTTAATAACCTGAAACCTTACACACTTATATCTTATACTTATTGCTCAATCTCATCCTATACCAAATAAGGAATTTTTGAAAAATTTACTTTGAACAAATCTGATTGTCACCTTAGGGATAACCTCAATTAATAAAACCGGTTTTGCTGGGGGTGGTGGAGATATATTCAGCTCAGCCAGCCATCGTTGTAGGTGGGTCAACACTGGTAGCTGATCTAGCACATAATCCTGTAATCTAAACAGTGTATCCAATCAAATAGTTTATTTAGAATTAGGGCGTGAACATATTATAATTTACATATTCAACTGCTGTCTTGTAAGCTGTAAAGATCAAAATATGGAAAATTTGATAAATTAATTGTTGAACTAATTGATGTATTGATAAGTTGATTGATTGATTTAATTAATTTAATGATCTTATTGATTTATTAAATCGATTGTTTACATTGATTGATTAAAATTGATTGAATCAATTGTTTGATTAAAATTTATTGAATAAATTGATTGATCGAATTGACTAAATTGGTTGATTACATTCATTGTTGGTTGAATTGGTAGATTAGCTTCATTAAATCAATTAATTGAGTTGATTGAATTAATTGATTAGCCATATTAATCGATTGAACAATTGAATTGATTGAATACTATAAAATTAAAATTGAATTAATTTATTTACCTTGACTGTAACTTGGTGAGAACTCCAACCCTAAAATTATTCAGCTGATATTTTTCCATTACCTCTCTACACAGGAGCAATGTTTTTAATTAAATAAACGCAGGTTCAAAGTTCCAGGAATTTCATTGTATGTAATTAAGTAGATATTATGAAAAATTAACAATTTCTTTCAAAGCATTTATCTTCCTCCCTAGTTGAGAGAATATTATAGAGACAAATCCAAGATTGTGCTTCCATCTTCTCAAGCAGTACATCTGCTAATAAAACTGGTTTATAGTTAAAGCATATTATCTAGTTGAGAGAATATTATATAGACAAATCCAAGATTGTGCTTCCATCTTCTCAAGCAGTACATCTGCTAATAAAACAGTTTATAGTTAATGCATATTATCTAGTTGAGAGAATATTATAGAGACAACTCCAAGATTGTGCTTTCATCTTCTCAAGCAGTACATCTGCTAATAAAACCGGGTTATAGTTAAAGCATATTCCTTAGTTGAGAGAATATTATAGAGACAACTCCAAGATTGTGCTTTCATCTTCTCAAGCAGAACATCTGCAAATAAAACTGGTTTATAGTTAAAGCATATTATCTAGTTGAGAGAATATTATATAGACAACTCCAAGATTGTGCTTCCATCTTCTCAAGTAGAACATCTGCTAATAAAACCAGTTTATAGTTAAAGCATATTATCTAGTTGAGAGAATATTATATAGACAACTCCAAGATTGTACTTCCATCTTCTCAAGCAGTACATCTGCTAATAAAACTGGTTTATAGTTAAAGCATATTATCTAGTTGAGAGAATATTATATAGACAAATCCAAGATTGTGCTTCCATCTTCTCAAGCAGTACATCTGCAAATAAAACTGGTTTATAGTTAAAGCATATTATCTAGTTGAGAGAATATTATAGAGACAAATCCAAGATTGTGCTTCCATCTTCTCAAGCAGTACATCTGCTAATAAAACCAGTTTATAGTTAAAGCATATTATCTAGTTGAGAGAATATTATAGAGACAAATCCAAGATTATGCTTCCATCTTCTCAAGTAGAACATCTGCTAATAAAACTGGTTTATAGTTAAAGCATATTCCCTAGTTGAGAGAATATTATAGAGACAAATCTTGATAGAAATATCTGCAAATAAAACTGGTCGTAATTGACTCTCCATTACAGACACAGCTATAGTCTTGATTCACAGCAGTGCTCATTAAACCTTTATCTGAGTAACAGTGTGGAAGATATCCTTGTTTTCCTATCTTGAAAGAACAAACTGCAATTGAAATCTGTGAATTTAGAAAAACATCTCGTATCAAACACATAATTTAATTTACTCTTGTGTGTATTTCCGACCTTCCTCCTTTTGATTTGTCCATTGGCCCTCTCTCCAGACTTGATTATCTTTAATCCATGGTTGGTCCTCAATAGTTTGGGCAAGAAGTCCTGAACGAAAAAATCATAATTGAGTACGATTAATTTGCGATTAATTTTATTATCCAGAGCCCGTTCTCTCCATAGAAAGTCGTCGTGTAATTCACGTACTTTTGGGGACGATATGTTGACCGCTAGGTGTCTAATGCTAAATTCTTATCTGATAGATAGATATTTCTCCGTAAATTTCACGACCAAAATAGGAGACGTCAAGTTGTCGACCAATGTAGTTTATGGAAAGAACGGCCTCTGGTCTTCATAGTATTTATAAGAGAAGACTGCACTCTGACGTCTTTTTGTAGGATTATCTATTATTTTGAAATAGATTCGCAAATGTAAAGTTTGGGTAATTTTTATGTTGGTGGATCTTTATCTATCTCCTAACGAAATGAAACAACCATGTAGATTGAACAATGTTTTTTATTTTTCATGATTCTTGAAATAGTTTCCTGAAAACATTGCGGTTATGAAGTAAACATAGTTACACTGATTATGAACTAAAAATTCTTGATTTAGTATCTCATCTTAAACGTGAAAATACTGAATCGATTTTTGTTATCGCTCCTTATATGTGTGTAACTATTGTATCTCTCAAAGCCAAAAGACTAAGATCATGAGAAATTTAAGTTAAAGTCAACTTACTCAATCTAGAATTTTTTAAACCACACTAAGAAAATACTTGTGGTTCCCCAGTCAAAATATAAGGCAAATCGGTCAAAGGTTCATGAGTTATGATCGGACATCCAAAGAAATAGACAAATTGACATTTACACATAATTTCAGAAAACTCCTTCTGAACTTGGTTTCGAGAAAATACTGCAGTCTGACGTCTTTTTGTAGGATTATCCATCTATCCTGTATCCAGTATCTAGTTTGTATGATTATCCATCTATCCTGTATCCAGTATCTAGTTTGTAGGATTATACATCTATCCTGTATCCAGTATCTAGATTTTAGGATTATCCATCTATCCTGTATCCAGTATCTAGTTTGTAGGATTATCCATCTATCCCGTATCCAGTATCTAGTTTGTATGATTATCCATCTATCCTGTATCCAGTATCTAGTTTGCAGGATTATCCATCTATCCTGTATCCAGTATCTAACATATATACCTGGGACATCATGAGTTGTCACTAGTCTTGCAAGAACTCCCAAAGTAACAACCTCCATGTTGTCAGTTAAATACCTTAAAATATAATTTAATAGCCTAAATAAATGTTTAAATATTTAAAATCTTTATATATCCCCATTTTGTGGAAAAAAATTTTTTCTTGGAGGAGAAAAATAGAAATTTTAAAGGATTGAAAAATGTTTACCTGAGAACAGATAGAGATCTCATCCCCAGTGATATTCTTGTATCTCGGATATGCTGGAGAACCTCGTTGTATACATCCAGCTCACCCTCATCAGATTTAGGATCAGGGTTTGGTTTAGGTTTAGGATCATGGTCATCATTATCCTCCTCCGGCGTACAATGAATATTAAGGGAAGCTAGATGAGTGACACATCTAAATAAAAATAAGTAAACACTTTTTTTATACGACCAGAAGAAGCATAACGGTCGCAGACCTTTTAGTCCTCAAAACAATTGTAAAAAAAATCATTGTAGGTAAATTTAAAATGTCGAAAAACATTATTATTATATTATTTAGTGTGGATGGTTTGTATTTTGAAAACTAAAACTGTTTTTAGTTCTGACGAAAACATTTTTTTAGGATGTGAACAAATAGATATTTTTGTCTGACATTCGTCGTATAGTACAAGAAGAGTGGGAATGATATTTTTTCTCAAGTTTCAAAATCTAGATTTCTAAAACTGAACCCTTTTTTAAAGACTAGATTCTGCCTATTGATATTATGATCATTGTTTATTGATAGATGATACGATTTTGTGATTCAAATTATTACGTGATCAATGAATCAGTTTATTAAATGATAAATGATTCTTTACTCCTAGCTTGGACCAGATTTAATCATTTTGTTTATCATGTTGCAAAAATGATTTTTTTCTAATTATCCATAGACCTGATGTTGTAGATCTTTGATACGTGGAATTTAGCTTGATCCAACAGTCACAGTTGGAAATATCAAAGGTTTACACCATCAGGTTTGAANAAGTTTTTTGTCTTTACTTTGTTTTTATTTTGTTCTTATTTTGTTTTATTTTGATTACCTGACACAATAGTCTAACAAATCAGTCCCTGTATCATCCAAAGATTCAACTGCATCCCTTGTAAACAACATGCATTAGTCATTAAGAACGTTTAATACAATTTAGTTAATTTCGTTAGTCTCAGCATTAAATATCATCTAAAAAGTTTAAATAATAAAATAAAAATTTGGATTTTTTTAAATTTTGAAACGGTTTTAAATCTTTAAAGGGACACACCGGTTATGTAAGGTAGTTAAACTGAATATGCAGTGTTGTGGATTCATTTGAGACATTTAAACTTTTTAAAGATCTGTAAATCCTAAGTTTGAGCGCAAAGTTGACGTTCAAAATCGTACTTTTGGGTGGATGCTTTTTCAGATTTTTTTTTTATTAAATAACGACGACAAAAAATGTAAACAAAATTCTATAGTAAACTAATTAGTTGTTTAGTAACAGGTTGAGAAAATAAAAATTAATCTTATCATCGAAAATAAGTAATCTTGTTCAATTATTAGTTTGTATTTTCTCATTATTTTGGTATCTCATTATTCACAAAGATTTTCTGGAATTATTATTGAAAAAACGGCATTTTAGGAATTTAAAGAAATTCAAAGAAGATAAAAAATTCAATATAATAATGAAAACGAAATAATTGATTCTAGCATTTATTTATTGACAAATATCTTTTGAGAAATATGTTCCTAACCATCTAATTAGATTACTATATAATTTTTACTTTATCTTTTGTCATCGTTATTTAATAATTAAAAAACCGATTCTGAAAACTTATCCACCAAAAGTACGATTTTGTACGTCGACTTTGTGCTCAAAATCAGGATTTACAGATCTTTAAAAAGTTTTATATGTCTCAAATGAATCCTAAAGAATTTGTCTACATCACTGCATACTCAGTTCAACTACCTTACATGGCCGGTCTGCCCCTTTAAAGGCATAACAGAGTGCTCCTCCCTCCATCAAAAAGATATAAAGTGGTACTCTTGAAACCTTTGTCTGAGCTGCTATTTTATAGTTTTTCCCAATTTGGTGGAATTTGAATAATGATAATACAAAATGATTCTAACCTATGAAATAATGCTGCTTCTAGCAGTGTTAAACAACTAGCTTCATGGAACAGTGCTGAGTAGATTGGAAACGAAGTCTAAAATATAATTTTATTCATTTTAACATGTAATCATTCAATAAGGTTGTACAATAATCAATAATAAATAATAAGACCTGTATATTTTTAGATTTGAGTATTGCAGGAAGAATTTCTATTCTCCATGTCTCTAAAAGAACTAGCTGTTGAACTAGATACTGGATACGCCCTTCATCAACCAGCTGCCGGCTAACCTACATATTATCTATCTAAGGGTTAACCTCACAGGGTGAAACGACAAAGACGACTTTAAGAACAATTCAATCATATCAATTGCTAAGGATTTTGATTCTGTGTCATATCACTTACAAGCAATATGAAAAGATTACTCTCAATTCAGAAGACCAAATCGCTTTTTTATAGATCTTTCATTTCTAACATATCCTATGGATATACGTTGTGTAACTTCTTTAATTTCGTTTCTTTTACTTTTCAATCTGTACAATCATGTTGCTTCACCTACAAGGTGTCCCACGAAACATGACAGTATGGTTAATAGTTTTGAATGTCTTCTTCCATATCAAGCATTATATATTAATGACTTGTTGCGTTTATTGTGCTAAAAAATTTTTAACTCAATTATATTTTGCTTTGAAATCAACTTTATTGCAATAATATCATGTTTCCTGGGACACCAGCTGTACTTTCCCCACCCCTTCTGACCATCCTCCAAAGCTAATTCTCTACCTCATCTCCATCACTGTGTCGTCCTCCAATACTGCTACAACTCTAAACAGTTCTTTTCCACCTTGATCTGCCTCCAATACTGATACAACTCTAACCTGCTCTTTTCCTCCTTGATCAGCCTCCAATACTGTTGCTACTTTACCTTGCTCTTTTCCTCCTTGACCTGCCTCCAATACTGCTACAACTCTAACCTACTATTCTTTTCCACTTTGACCTGCCTCCAATACTGCTACAACTCTAACCTGCTCTTTTCCACCTTGACCAGCCTCCAATACTGCTGCTACTTTACCTGGCTCTTTTCCTCCTTGACCGGTCTCCAATACTGCTGCTACTTTACCTGCTCTTTTCCACCGTGACCTGCCTCCAATACTGCTACCACTCTAACCTGCTCTTTTCCACCGTGACCTGCCTCCAATACTGCTACAACTCTAACCTGCTCTTTTCCACCTTGACCAGCCTCCAATACTGCTGCTACTCTACTTGCTCATTTCAACCTTGACCTGCCTCAAATACTGCTACAACTCTAACCTACTATTTTCCTCCTTGACCGGTCTCCATTACTGCTTCTTATACTCTACCTGCTCTTTTCCACCTTGACCGACCTCCTAAGCTGCTGCTACTCTTTCTGCTCTTCTCCACCATGACTGGCCTCCAAATCTGCTCCATTCTACCTGGTCTTTTCCACTTTGTTCAGGCTCCAATAAAATTGGTCTTATACCTGCTCTTCTACACTTTGAACGGCCTCAGAAGCTGCTGCTACTCTACCTGCTCCTCTCCGCCTTGACTTGCCTCCAAAGCTGCTGCTACTCCTAATTTTTCGAGGATTTCTGCTTGTTCCAACCATCCTTCCCTTCCTGCATCCTCTTCAAATAAAATCAGCTGTAGCGTTGATTTGTTAAAACTTCTTATAACGTAGTTTTGAGGTCCACAGTAAAAAACGATATTCTGAAATGTGCTGTTTTTTTGGTTAGAAAATATTCAAAACTCGTTCAAATCTATTTTGTTATTCTTTTAAGAAATTCTTTTAAGATATTCTTTTAAGACATTCTTTTAAGACATTCTTTGAAGACATTCTTTTCAGACATTCTTTTAACATATTCTTTTAAGATATTCTTTTAAGATATTCTTTTAGATATTCTTTTAAGACATTCTTTTAAGACATTCTTTTCAAACATTCTTTTAAGATATTCTTTCAAGATATTCTTTTAAGATATGCGATTAAGATATTCTTTTAAGATATTCTTTTAGGATATTCTTTTAAGATATTCTTTTAAGATTATGCTTTTAAGATATTCTTTTAAGATATGCTTTTCAGATATTCTTTTAAGATATATTTTTAAGATATTCTTTTAAGATATTCTTTTAAGATATTCTTTTAAGATATACTTTTAAGATATTCTTTTAAGATATTCTTTTAAGATATTCTTTTAAGATATTCTTTTAAGATATTCTTTTAAGATATTCTTTTAAGATATTCTTTTAAGATATTAAGACATTCTTTTAGGACATTCTTTTAGGACATTCTTTTAATATATTCTTTTAAGATATTCTTTAAGATATTCTTTTAACATATTCTTTTAAGATATTCTTCTAAGATATTCTTTTAACATATTCTTTTAAGATATTCTTAAGATATTCTTTTAACATATTCTTTTAAGATATATTTACCTATTTCCATTGTTTTGATGTTCTGAACCAACTTTTCAGTCTCACAGGAGCTCAGAAACATTCTGAAATTTTGATTAATATACATGTATAATTTATATCTAGAAAAAACGACTGAAAAATTTGAGAAAAGAATGCACTGATGATTTATTGCAAATTTCCAATCTTTATAATATCCTCTTCAGGAAAAGTGAGACCGGATGTATTTGCTGAAAACCGAGTAGACATAGCTTAACCATTTCTCCTCAGTTAACTTTCACCGCCTCTGAAAATTAGTAGTTCAAATTTGTCTACGAAGTTCAACTACTTCTCGCTATTTATCAATTTTGTTCCTGGTCCTTTTTCTTTTCAACTTTTCAACAAGAAATTAATGATTTTTGAAAGAAATACATAATATATTATCTTTTATTTATATTTTATAGTTTATCTAAACTTCAGGGTGTCCCACGAAACATGACAGTTGGTAAATAGTTTAGAATGTCTTCTTCCATAATTTGTTAAGTTGTTTAATACCAAAGACAATAATAAAAATATTATATAGGAGTCATATTATAGTAAATTAATTTCAAAGTAAAATATATTTGAGCAAAAGATTTTTAAACGAAATAAACTGCAAACAGCCTTTAATATCAAATAGTAAATACAGTGTATGGAAGACGACATTCAAAATTATTTACTACTTGTCATGTTTCTTGGGACACCCTGTATCTGTCTATGTCTCCTTTAAATGGGTTGGAAGTCTATTTGCTTGTCAATGTCAAATTACTAAAAAGTTTTGAGACCATGATACCATGAGACCTTGAAAAACAGAGAGAAAGAAGAAAAGAAAAGAGTTAAAATTAATCTAATATAATACCCGCAGATTTATATAACGAACCACTCTAAAGCGAAATTTATAGGGGGTGGATTGTGTACATCACGATATGTTTTTCGTATCCAACAACAGGGTGTCCCACGAAACATGACAGTGGCAAGACGACTTGAAAGTCGTCTTTGTACTTTGAATTTATTTCAGACATTTAGTCGTCAACTAACTTTAACTTGTATGATTCTTGAAACAATTATCACAAAATTCTCCTATAGTCCAGGAATTTCCAAAATGATAATTGACTGCCTTTTTTTGTGCTGTTAATATTTCAATATTTTATTAATTAAATCCAAAATTGTCAAAATCAGAACCAAATTCTCTATATCTCCGATAGTATTAAACGCACATAAAAGGCAGACCACATTTAGAAAATGCCAAGACTAAAGGGTATTTACTATTTGGTGATTATCATAGATAAATAAACATAGATAGCTTATGTACGCGAAATCACCAAGAATTGTACAGTATTTCACTGAGCAATATATCATATTGACGAGAACTGAAGAAGGACATGAGAAGGACTAAACTAACTTAAATTTCTCTCTACAGAACTCATGTACACCAAAAGTACTCAATGACATAAGAAAAGCCAATGTTCACAACCGACCTAGGTAATCTATATAACAGGAATATCTTTAAAACATCTCTGTACATTTATATCTTTTAAGATGAAAAATGTCGTCTTATGCGCAATCTTTCTTTATCTATGGAGATTATTAACTCTAGAATATTACTTCTATAATTAGGTTTACTAATAAGATTAGCAAATTATTTTAAGGATCAAAGACGACTTTAAATTTGTCTTGCTAATTTAAATTTCAGTTAAGAGTTAATGTGTAAGGAAAATTAAATTCTTAAGGTTTGAGGGGCAAGGAGTGTCCTGAATGCCTAATTCTAAACAAAATTAATAAACTATTTATGTACTATACTGACTGACTCATACAAGCAAATTCAAAATGTTGCAGAGCTTTCTAAAGATTGATCAATAAATTGTAGAACTGTCATGATCCCGAAGACGACATTAAACTTTCTCAAATTAGTTTTATCAGTTATAAATATTTAAGACTTACAACCGCTAAAAATCCTCTAAAATGACTGATGACGTAATTTTAATTTTAAGAACATTAGTCCTAATTAAAACGGAACGTTAACATACGTTAACATAAAAAATTACCAACGTTTTGTTATTTTTACTCAGGCAATGGTTGGTTAAAATGTATCGCAGTGAATCAGGCAAATAAATAAATAATTAGAGGGTATCTTGAAGCTAAGTCGACAATACTGAATTTTTTAAATTTTATCCCTTTGCTCTCGTCGTAAACTATCTTCGCAGACAATCTATAAATATCAAGAAAGCGTTAAATTTGAACAGACAATTTGCAAGTTGGTCGATTGTTTTGTAGTGTATTTGGTAGATAAAGGTTTGATTGATTGGTTGATTCAAATTGATAAAAAATGCACAACTGCTTCTTGCAAAAATGTCCTGCTTATTATGTAGAGATTGATGTGTTCCATCTTCTTCCAGTCTAATTCATCCTTCATCCTTCATCCTTTATTTAGTTTATTACCATCCAGATTTAAATTATTGTATCTTTTTTATCTACAAAGTATTTGTATTCTTGATCAATATGTGAGTTAAAATTCATCCATTTTTGAATAAATAATTCATCGATCAATTCAAAAGCTCTTCCTCGGGTCCATGTTCTGTTATGATCATCAGTTAGTTTGATTATACTGTCTCTAGACACATGTCAATTTAGTCAATACATATTATACAGTTGCATTCATTTATCTATAACATGAATACCAGGTCTGTATATTTTAGCGAGGCAGCCAAGGCGCTTCGCACCCCCCTGACCTGTGCATTAGCTTCTCTTTTCTTTGTAAATGTAAGAAAATGGCAACAAAAATTATCTATCTTTAGCTTCGAACTTATTTTCACCAATTAAATTAAATTAAATTTGATTTTTTGAATTTTTTTTTCGTTTTTGAACAATTTGTTTCATTTAAAGTCAAACTTTTCGACAACAAAAGAGAAACAATAAGGGTGAAAGAACAAATTCGACAAACATATAAAGGACTGGTTAGTTTAGCGTGATCCTACCTGTTGTCTAGGTATGGTTAGCTTACCGTGATCCTACCTTTTGTCTAGGTCTGGTTAGTTTAGCGTGATCCTACCTGTTGTCTAGGTCTGGTTAGTTTAACGTGATCCTACCTGTTGTCTAGGTATGGTTAGCTTACCGTGATCCTACCTGTTGTCTAGGTCTGGTTAGTTTACCGTGATCCTACCTTTTGTCTAGGTCTGGTTAGTTTAGCGTTATCCTACCTGAAGTCTAGGTCTGGTTAGTTTAGCGTGATCCTACCTGTTGTCCAGGTTTGGTTAGTTTACCGTGATCCTACCTGTTGTCTAGGTCTGGTTAGTGTACCGTGATCCTACCTGTTGTCTGTAAATGAAGCAAAAAACCCTGAAAACCTGGAACCCGTCACAAGATTTGGATTCGCTCCAAACTAGGATTTGTGATCTCCCTGGAGCAATCCTAGCTCAAGGTATATACACTATACACGGTGTAATCTTCACACATTTCCCACTCTACTCTACCATTAACCTAGAAAAGTCATGATGTTTGAAGAGAAGTACTTAAGTACTAAATAAACGTTTTCTGTTCGAAGAGTAGAACTAACTAAACGTTTTCTGTTCTTAGAGTAGTACTAACTAAACGTTTTTTGTTCGAAGAGAAGTACTAACTAAACGTTTTTTTGTTCGAATAGAAGTACTAACTAAAATTGTTTTGCTCGAAGAGAAGTACTCACTGAACGTTTTCTGCTCGAGAGAAGTACTCACTAAACGTTTTCTGTTAGAAAAGAAGTACTAACTGAACGTTTTCTGTTCGAAGAGAAGTACTAACTAAACGTTTTCTGTTTGAAGAGACGTACTAACTGAAATGTTCTGTTCGAAGAAAAGTACTAACTGAATGTTTTCTGTTCGAAGAGAAGTACTAACTGAACGTTTTCTGTTCGAAGAGAAGTACTAACTAATTGTTTTCTGTTCGAAGAAAAGTACTAACTAAAAGTTTTCTGTTCGAAGAGAAGTACTAACTAATTGTTTTCTGTTCGAGGAGAAGTACTAACTAAACGTTTTCTGTCGAAGAGAAGTACTAACTAAACGTTTTCTGTCGAAGAGAAGTACTAAATAAACGTTTTCTGTCGAAAAGAAGTACTAACTAAACGTTTTCTGTCGAAGAGAAGTACTAACTAAACGTTTTCTGTTTCTTAGAAAATTGTTTCTTTTCTGCCACATATTCTATGCTTTGTACGTATCTTTATAGCTCTAGATCTGAAAATGTTATATCTAGATCTGAAAATGTTATATCTAGATCTGAAAATGTTATATCTAGATCTGAAAATGTTATATCTAGATCTGTGAAAATGTTATATCAATATCTGAAAATGTTATATCTAGATCTAAAATGTTATATCTAGATCTGAAAATGTTATATCTAGATCTGAAAATGTTATATCTAGATCTGAAAATGTTATATCTAGATCAGAAAATGTTAAATCTGGATCTGAAAATGTTATATCTAGATCTGAAAATGTTATATCTAGATCTGAAATGTTATATCTAGATCTGAAAATGTTATATCTAGATTTGAAAATGTTATATCTAGATCTGAAAATGTTATATCTAGATCTGAAAATGTTATATCTAGAATGTTATATCTAGATCTGAAAATGTTATATCTAGATCTGAAATGTTATATCTAGATCTGCAAATATTATATCTGGATCTGAAAATTTTATATCTAGATCTGCAAATATTAGGTCTAGATCTGAAAATGTTATATCTAGATCTGAAATGTTATATCTAGATCTGCAAATATTATATCTAGATCTGAAATGTTATATCTAGATCTGAAATGTTATATCTAGATCTGAAATGTTATATCTAGATCTAAAAATGTTAAAAGAGAATCGAACTTTACTTAAATTAAATTTAAATTAAATTTAAATTGTTTAAAATTTCCATAAGGAAACATTTTAAAAGGTAGCCAGTTTCCAAATCGTCGTAAATTGTTTTAGTGAGAATTCACAATGCTTCACATTTTAAATACTTTTTGTAATAATTTTGCGCCAGAAAAGCATCCATGCACGATAAACTAAAGGTCCTGGTTAAATGTTCCATGAGTCCTGACTTTGACACCCATTTTCGTAGATTTTTCGTCTTTGCTATTTTTTACTTCTTTGTTGGGCTATGTATTCAAATATTCTCTCTGACAGGTTTTCGAAAATATTACGTTACAGACAGGATGCATTTTATTGTAATAAGTTTTAGGTGTGCAGTATATTACTTTTAAGAATGTCAATTTCAAACAAATTTGTTGAATACAATTTCTGAACAGG